AAACTTTCACTAGTTAAATAAAATTACCTAGTTCATGAAAAGAAATTACTTACAATTATACATATAATTAGACTCTAAAAATTATATCTTGAAAAGTAAAAGTTTAAAGTAATAACTGATCATGTCTTTTTGAAATATATCAAAATATAACACAATCTTTTAAAGAAATAGACTTGCTAGTTAGAAACTTTACAGACTAGTAATTTTGAAGTCAAATATAAATCTAATAAATATAATATAATCACAAATATACTCTTATATCAATTACATTTAGCTAATATTTTAGTTATTATCACTAATTTGATAGAAAAGAAAACTTAATAAAGAAATATCAAGTAGATAAATATTTTGCAGAAATATATAAAGTCTTGAAAAACTTCAATAGTGCCAATCCAAAATAATAAATTAAAGTAAAAAACTTTGAGTTAAAAGATGAATTATTTTACTTGAAGAATATTAGTTACTTAGTTATATTTGATGACAAAAATTTGAAGATAAAAATATTATTTGAATTTCATAATATATTAATAGCTGAATATATTAAAATTAATAAAATATATACAGCAGTTTTTTAATAGTTTTATTAGCTAAAAATGAATAAAAATATTCACAAATATATTATCAATTATAAATCATGTTAATGTAACAAAAGTAATAATCAATAATCCTCAGAATTATTATAATCTTTAGCTATTTCAAAATACAGATAGAAATATATTATCATAAACTTTATAATATAACTTTCAATTACTAAATCTGGATATAATGCTTTAGTAATCTTTATAGATAGACTATCAAAAAGAGTGCACTTTATATCAACTATAATAATAGCAATAATATCTAATATTATAAAGATTTTCTTTGAAAATATCTTTAAATTGCATGACTTACTCACAATTATAATATCAGATAGAGATGCTAAATTTACAAGTCACTTTTGAAAGTTTCTTTTTGAATAGTTAGATATTAAACTTACTATATCTACAATCTTTTATCCTTAAACAGATAGCCAGACAGAAAGATTAAATAGAACTTTAGAAGAAATATTAAGAATATATATAATATATTAACAGAATAGATGAGATAAAAATTCAGTTATAGTAGAATTTGCCTATAATAATAGTAAAAATACTTCAACAGATTACATATCTTTTGAATTAAATTATGAATAGATATCTTATATATCTATTAATACTTTGTCATAATAAAATAATATTATAATCTTACAATCTTACAAGATTTTATAAAGTACTAAAATATCATGATAAAAACTGCCAAAGATTTACTATTTGAAGCTTAAGAAAAACAGATAAAATATACAAATTAATATAAAAGATTTAAAGAATTCAATCTTGAAAATAAAATTCTTCTTTTTATTCATAATATAGAATCTCTAATTAATAAATAAAGAATAATCAAGAAATTTATATCAAAATTCATTAGATCTTTTAAAATTATCATCAAAATATTTTTTGTTACTTATAAATTGCAATTATCACAGAATATAAAAGTAAATTTAGTATTTTATATATCATTTCTAAAGAAATATAACTCTGATAATAAATATAATAGATATCAATCACCATTAGCAATTATTATTTCAGATAATAAAAAAGAATATGAAATAAAGAATATTCTTAATAAAAGAATTCATTATCACAAAATTCAATATCTTGTTAAATAACTTGATTATCTTTTTTATGATACAACTTGAGAATTTCTTGATAACTTAAAAAATATCATAAAAAAGATTAATATCTTTAAAAAATTATGTACTTAAATATAATGAGAATATTATATTTTAAGTAGAAGAATATATAATAATTTTGATTGAATTAGATTAGATTTTTATTTTATACTGTTTATATAATAAATTAACTTCTGTATTATTTTTATTTAAAAATTTAATTTCATTCTGGATATATAGATAATCATCTATATATATAATATATTAAATTAATATATTATTATATAAATAATTATTATATATATCTATATTATTAATTTAGATAATTAATATTTTTAATTAAATTCTTTACTATTTTCTTTATAATTTTATTTATTCTTTTTAATTATTATTTATATTATTATTTATATTATTTATAATTTATTAGATTATAATTAGTTATTTTCTAGAGATATAAATTAAATTAATTAATTTTATTTAATCATATATATTTTATTTATAGATTATTATTAATTTATTCATATTTATATTTATTTTTTTCATTATAAATATAATTTCTCTATTTTATAAATTATTCTTTAGATCTGAATATTATTTAAATAATAAAATTATAAATTTATAAATTGAAATTATTTATATCATATTTTATTTTATTTATAATTAAAGATAACATCTTAATTAATTATAACTTGTAATAGTTAATTAGAGAATTATGATTTAATTATAATTAATTATAATAGTTAATTAGAAAATTATAATTGAGTTATAATTAATTATGATATTAATTTTATTTATAATTATTAATAAAATAATTTTATAATATATATATATATGAATTTCAATTAATATTATAAATAAGAAGATCATTAATAGAAAACTTAAAAAAATTCTTGATCTTAAATAAGATAAAGAAATTAGTTTATTATTTAAAATTATATATTAAAATTTTTTAATAAGATATTAAGAAATATTAAAATAAATAAATTATTCTTTTTATTACTTAATTTATAATATTAAATAGAAGTTTATAATTATTAGAAGGATTATAAATAGAAAATTAATTTGTAATTTTACTAAAATTCAAAGTTATTTTTTTAGATTACTTTTTTATTATTATAAAGTATTAATTAATTAAATTCATATAAATTAATTTGTATTCTTTTATTATTTATATATTTAATTATTTAATATTTTTTATAAGTTTTTTTAATATATCTATTTATACTTTTTTTAATTTTTCTATAAATTAATTATTATTTAAAAACTTATTTTTATTTTTTATTTAAGTAGTATTAAAGCTTAATTAGTTATTATTAAAATTATTATTTGATTAATTATTACTTGATTTCTTAATATTTAATAATTTTAGAATTTAATTTTATATTATTCTAGTATTTTTTTATAGTTATTAAATAGTATTTACTTTATTTTTTTTATTTTAATATAATAAAAAATATATAATCTAAAAGGATTTTTAATCAAAATATATTTTTAATAAAAATAATTTTTAATTATAAAAAATATTTTAAATTAATAAATATTTTATTTTTACTTTTTTTAAAAAAAAATATATTTTAAAATATTAAAATATATTATAAAAAGAATAAAATTATTAGATAAGTAATCTTTTAGATATATTTTTATATAAAAAAAAGAAAATTACTTAAATAATTTTAAAAATTACATAAGAATTTTTATTAAAATTACTTTTTTTAATATTAATATAAATAAATCTTTTAAAAATAATTTTCATAAAGCTTAATATAAATAAATAATTAAAGATAATATTAGCAAAAATATAAATTTAAAATATATTAATTTCCTAATATAATCTGTTATAAAAAATTTGATATATCAGATAAATTTTAATAAATTATTTTTTTAAATAAAATTTTTAATTTTGTTTTATTTAATTAAATTATTAGATATTGGAATTTATTTAAATATAAAATTTTTACTAATAATAACTTTTTTCAATTATTATTTCTTAAATTTTACTATATAAAATTTAAATTAAAATTAATATAAAAATTACATAGTAAATAATTTAATTACTAAACTTTGAATTTTAATATCTTTATAACTACTGATTTGATTTTTATGAAATTTAAAATAAATATTTATCAAATATAAGACAATCTGTTTGCATAGTTTAAAGTTTTAATATTATAAATTGATAGCAATAATATTTAAGATATCTTTTTTTAAAAAAAAATAATTTTATTTTAGTTTTTTTAGTAAAGTAATACTTCATTTATTATTAAATTAAAGTATATTAAATAATTAAAATAGTATAAAAAGTGAATTTAGATCATTTTTTTATTTAATATAAAAAAATTATAAAGATTAATTAAAATTTGAATGATTTTTATTAGAAGCAATTATTAATTTTTATATTGATATATTAATCTTTTTGCAATGATTCATATTTTATAAATGAATTTTGAATATGTAAATAAAATTTTAAAAAATTATCATATTATCATTTAAATATTAAAAAGTAATTATATAAAAATATAAAAATTATCTAATTTATAAGAATAACAAAAACAAAAAAGATTCATATAAAACAGAAATAATAACTTGATAATTTCTAATTAAATAGAAAATAATATTAAAAGTGAGAACTGAACTAAAGTATATAAGAGAAGTATGATTTATTATTTAATTTTCAGTTTATGAAAGATTTATTTCATTTTTTAGATCGGACCAGTTTTATTAAACAAAATTCAAATTTCCTAATCTGGGATTCATCCAATAGAAATGCGTAAATTTTGTCAATAACCAGTGATATTAAGAGAAAAACATATTAAGTCTTGAACTATTAATTAAAAACGTTGAGAAGGCAATTTTACATATGGATGTAATTAAAACTCAGAATCCAAATTAGGAACTTTGAAATTTGGTTCAAACTGATCAGAAAAATGTAACAAACAAAAGAAATGCCAATATCTTTGAAAAACATGGTGTTTTACGCCACTGGCATAAGATAGTACCAATATTTAATTCGGAATTCGGGTTTAATTTGACATTTCGGCTTTCGATTTTATTAATTAAACGTTTCGACTAACCCAGTTTTTGAATATTTCGGTTTCGGCAACCATCTTTAGTGGAGCAATTCGCGTGTCGTTCGTTCGCTATCGTGTGAAGGCGTTTTCCGGATCCACATGTGCTCATACGGATCAACAATATGGTGCCATTTTCAGAGGTGCTTTGTAAACTTATAAATGCCGATCACATTTATTTATTCAAAAAATAATATAAAGCAACTCTAAGTAAACCATAAAGATCAAAACTATTTATTAATATATTTTTATTGATCCAATCCTGCTTGCTGTCTAATTTTTTGTATTAAAGCGCGACGCATGAATTGTTCACGTGCAAGCATACGTATACTCTAAAAGATCAATGTTAATTTTATTGTGCTTAATATAAAATTAAATTGTAAATAAATAAAAAAGTACCTTCATAAAAGTCTGTAAGTCTATTCTTTCACTGTTTAAAGCTTTGCCCAGATAATAAATTGTATCATCAATAGCATTGTCCTCGGCCACCAATTCAAATAATCTATTTGTAAAATAAGAAATTAATCATCAAAGTCGATAGATGATCGTGTGAAATTAAATCCACCAATTACTCAACTGATTATATACGATCGTTGTTCCACATAACACATCATCAACAGATATCTCAGGTATATTGGTAGCTTGCTCGATTAATCGATCAACCTCCGAATTCTTTGCTTTCATATAATCAATCTTTTCTTGTAATTGATTTTGCAACTCTTTTAATTGTCTCTTTTCATCTTCGCTTTGCGCCTCGCTATTATTTAATTGTTCCGAGAGACTCATAATCTTATTGATTTCAAGTATAGCTTTCTCGTGGTAGAAACTCCAACTATCTTCAAGTTTCTCATAGACATCAACTTGAAGTTTCACTATTTCGGGACTCTGATTATTGAACACTCGTGCTGGAGGCTGCGAATTAATCGGTGGTGGTGGTGTATCTAGTATACTAGGAATTTGACTGGATGGCGGTGAAGATTGTAAAGGTGCAACAACATTTCCACGCAGTTGAGGCTAAAATATTCGTCAGCAATAATTAGCGTAAAAAATATAACAATTGATAACATACATATAAATAAGTCTTGCATGGTATTTACTGGAGTAAAAAAATGTGAGTTTATATTTGTTGCTGTGGATGGATTTAAAGTTCCACTTTGACCCCTTGGTCTGTTCATCTCTACATTTTGATTAATTGATTGATATGGAGGTGGAGGCGGTAAAGGTGGAGGTGTTGGCGATCTCGTGGGAAATGGATTATGAGCGGTAGGAGAAACTATGTGATTTTGGATAGGTCGCTCTGGTGGTGGCGGTGGATGTGATGGTCTCAGTGGAGGATTGTGATTGACATTTGGTTTAGTATATAATGGTGGATCTTGACTAAAAATGCTTTGAAGAATAGTGCAAAGTTTTGAAATTGTTGATTCCTAAAACAAAAGAATGATTAAAAAACATAAACAAATTAATACATAACATATAACGATGACAACAACGACAACAAAAATAATAATGATGGTAATGATAAAATAATAATAATAATAATAATAATAATAATATTCATAATAATAATAATAATAATAATAATAATAATAATAATATTCATAATAATAATAATAATAATAATAATAATAATATTCATAATAATAATAATAATAATAATATTCATAATAATAATAATAATAATAATATTCATAATAATAATAATATTCATAATAATAATAATATTCATAATATTCATAATATTCATAATATTCATAATATTCATAATATTCATAATAATAATAATATTCATAATAATAATAATAATAATAATATTCATAATAATAATAATAATAATAATAATAATAATAATAATAATAATAATAATAATAATAATAATAATAATAATAAT